GTGCAACTCTTTATCAGGTGGCCATCAGAGCTCCCTTAAACCCCTTCACAGAATTCTGTTCTCCTTTTTATTTCTATTGATTTTTTAATATCCTTCTTTTTTTTCTTTTGGCTGTGTTGTGATGTCGCCCATTTCATCTCTTAATTGTGGTTTAATTTGCATCTTCCCTTGTTTTCCTTTAGTAGATTTTCAGTGACTTGTTGACTTCATTCTTTCAAAAAGCCAGCATCCATTCTTATTGATTCTTTTATTGTTTTTCTGTTTCCTTTATACTTGGACCAGGAAGCAATCTTTAGAACAGAGCAGGTAAACATTGCATGGTTCAAAATCAGGAGGGTAGTGCATCAAGGATGCATTCTCTCTCCATACATTTTCACTCTATTTGCAGAACAGATCATTCCGGAAACTGGGCTTTATGAGGAGGAATGTGGCATTGGGATTGGAGGAAGACTTATCAACAACCTATGTTACAAAGAAGACACAATCTTGTTTGCTGAAACTGAGGAGGACCTGAAGTGCTTGCTGCAGAAGGTCAAGGTCTATAGTCTTCAATTTGGATTGCAGATCAACACCAAGAAGACAAAGATTCTCACTACTGGGCCAATTGACAGAACGATGATGGATGGAGAAAAGATTGGGATGGTTAACAGTTTCAGTTTGCTTGGCTCCACAATCAACACTTTTGGCATCAGCAGTCAGGAAATCAAAAGGCGAAATGCTGTCAGGGACCTTTCCAGAGTACTGGGCAATAACGATGCCTGTCTAGAGACTAAGGTTAATCTGATCCACACCATGGTCTTTGCAATTACTTGCTATGCATCAGAGAGCTGGATGATGACAAAGGATTATAGAAGAAGAATTGATGCCTTTGAGTTGTGGTGCTGGGAATGAGTCTTGAGCATATCATGAACCACCAAGAAAACAAATAGGTGTGTCTTGGAGAGGGTGAAACCAAGTTTCTCCTTGAAGGCTAGGATTCTGAAGTTATATCCCACATACTTTGGGTATGTGTTCAGAAGGGACTGATCCTTGGAGAAGGACAACGTGCTCAGAAGGGTGGAGGGACAGTGCAGGACAGGAAGACCCCAGATGAAATTAATTGGTACAGTAACTAGGACAATGCGAGTAGGTGTGTCAGAGTCAGTGAGACTGGCTCAGGTCAGGGTAGGCTTCAGAGCTATTGTACATAGGGTCACTATAAGTCGCAGGTGACTTGACAGCAAATAACAACAACACAACAATATTACTGTCAAGAAAATGAAGATTCTTACCATTGGACCAATATGCAGCATTATAATAGAAGGAGAAAAGATTGACACTATCAACAACTTTATCTTACTTGGATTCACAATTAACACCCTTGGTACCAGCAGTCACGAAAGCAGGAGATGTATTACATTAGGTAAGTCTGCAGTCAGGGACCTCTCCAAATTGTTGAGGAGTAATGATGTCAGTTTGAGGACTAAGTTGTGTCTGATTCAGGTCATGGTATTTCCAATCACTTGCTACGCATCTGAGAGTTGGACAATGAATAAGGATGCAGACAAAGAATTGATGCCTCTGAACTGTGATTTTGGAGAAAAGTGCTAAGCATCCCATGGACTGCCAGAAGAAAAAACCAATTTTGAGACAAGAAAGATGAGGCTTCACCTTACGTACTTTAGGCATGTTTCTAAGAGGAGCTATTCTTGGAGAGGGACATGATTCTCAGAAAAATAGAGGGTTGGAGAAGGAGAGAAAGATCCTTTCAGGTGATTGACACAGTGACTGCCACCGTGGGCTCTGACATGTCAGGAAGTATGAGGATGGTACAGGATAGGACAGGGTTCAGATCTGTTGTTCATAGTATCACTATGGGGAATATTCAACTGGATGGTATCTAACTAATTGTTGGAGACATTGATTTAAGGTGGTAGTTTGGGTTCTTATCTTTTTTTATTTCAGCATTTGTTACTAAAAATTTAGCTTTGAGCCTGCTTTTGCAGTGTTCCAAAGATTTTGATATGTTGTGTTTCTATTCTCAGTTGTTTCAAGAAGTTTTATTTTTCACTTCAGTTTTTATTTCTTCTAATACACACAAAGGAGCTCTCGTTATCTAGTGGCAAGGAGCTGCACAGCCTACCCAAAGGCATGTGGTTCAGATCCACCATCTGCTCAGAGAGAGAAATACAGCTAGTCTTCTCTCATGTAATTTATGCCTTCTGAAACTCACTGGAGGTTTGGCTACAAGGTGATTTTAACTCAAGAACACACAACAACATTACACAATAGTGCTTCAGTAGGATGTTACTAAGTTGTTGGTTTCCCCCTTCTTATTCTTCCTCTTGTTGATTTATAATTTTACAGTATTGATGTCTGTGAAAATGCTTTGTAGGGCTGGGGTTTTTTTGTTTTTTTAACTTAAATTTTTGTTTTAATTTATTGAGGCTTACTTTGCGACCTAACATGCGATCTCTTATGGATAATGTTCCATGTGTACTGGAGAATATATATTATGCTCTTGTTTGACGTATGCTCTTGCATTCTATGTATGTCTACAAGATCAAATTGTTTAATTATAGTATTTAGTTCTGTCTTTGTTAAGTTTGTTTCTAGTAGTTCTGAGAGATCTTCCTTCTTTATGCTGGTATTTATTGCTGTAACTTTCCCTCTGAGTACTACTTTAGCTGTATCTATACCTTTTCATGTTTTACTTTTATTTGACTTGAGGAGATTTGTTATTTTGCTCTTATTATTTTTTCCTTTGTCATAGTCAAATAGTGTATTGTTTAGATTCCATATGTTTGTTTATTTTACAGATACAGTTTTCTACAGTTGATTTCTAGCCTCACTCCATTGTGGTCAAGACATCTACTTCTTAGCACTCAAAAGTCTATGTTAGTAGTCCTCCTCACCAATTAGAAGTAGTAGTAAACTCACTGATTAACTGACCCCAAGGGAAGTTTGTGCTTTCAGTTTCAGAGATCTGAGCTGTGGAGTGCACAAGGAAACAAGTAGAGTGTTGACCTTGGGAGAAAGCTCCATTGCAGAGGCTTCTGTAGCAATTTATAGACAGTTAGCAGGTGGCAGTGTCCAGATAGGGAGGAACTGACATGCTTCAAATGTACCCTCAAAGAGGTTTGCCTTGTAGAGCCCCTCCTCCCTTTACTATGTTGGCTGTGGATGTTGCCTCTCCTCAAGCTACATGATTCCTAACACACAGCAGCCTCAGTCATAAGTCCTCAGCACCAACCAAAAATACAAGCAAAGAGAACAGAATTGGCTCCCCAAAGAGTCTGTCCCTTTAGTTTCAGAGTCCTGAGCTGAAGGATGTACAGGGCTGCAGGTACCATGTGACTATGAAAAGAATCTCCCTGAAAAGGGTTTCTGGAGTTATCTACAGTAAGCGTCCAGCTTACTGTAGAAGGTGGAGAACGCTAGAACGCTTCAAATGTAGGGATGTCTGCCTTGTTTCTTGTAGAGCAGAATCTTGAAGTCCAGTCTGTTTTTATAGGCACATAGTATGGTTGTTAGAAAAGCTGGCTCTTTTACCAGGCCACCTGCTCAGTTCATAGCAGCCAATGATTTGTATGTTCATGAAGATGGGCAGGGCCAAGTGATTTTCCTATTATTGATTCTTACCTATCTTTAGTTCCCAGATGCTTTCTTCTGTTCTCCAATTCAGAGTCTCTTAAAGCCAAAGAACATTTCCTTGTTGTCATTTTTGTTGTCTGTGTAGGGGAAGGTGAGGAAAATGGTCTGCTTAAGCTGCTATCTTCCCAGAATCTCATACGTTATCTTCCTTAACCTCCGAAAAAAACTACCCCACAGTGACATTAAAACTTAAAGAACTTAATTAACTTGTCCAAGTTTCCATGGAAGCTAAGCATGGTAACAGAATTGTCACTGAATGAGTTTGTTCCCACAGTCTGGAATCTTTTAATTACATAATGCAGTGTCTAGTGGCAAAAAGTGGCGCTGTAATCATGAAGGCACAGTCGGAAGCCACCAGCTGCTCCATGGGAGAAGGATGAGCAATCTCCTGTATGATTAACTGCTTCTTAAAACCAGGCAGACAGCCAGCTATGGGTTGGTTCTGACTCAATGGCACACAACAACAATAGTCCTCAGGTGTAACTTATTTATTCTATTTAATATACAAAGGAAGGCATCTTTTTAAAAGGGATTGGTTGTATGTAAAATACAGCAACAAAGAAAGAAAAGATTTTTTTATCGCTGGGGTGATGCTAACAACCCTCTCTAGGGTTTCAACGTTGAGACCAGAGATACCAATCCCCCCAGAAAAATTTTGATTTTTCAGAGCATTCTTGCTCTATGTCTCTCTTTAATGACAGGTTCTTTTATGATATTGATAACAATTTTATCAGAAGTAGCTTCTCTTTATCAGAGTTCTTAGCACGTTGTTTCAGTCTATGTTTGCCAGAAAGTTGATCCTAAAATAAGGCTGCATGCTGACGGCTTTTGGATAAATGATCCTAGGAAGCATCAGTTAAGAAGCGAGGATGTGAAACAAAGGGGCGAGGGGTGGGAGTGGGAAATGTCTAAGAAAGTGCACATTAATGAGCAAGTTTATCATCATGAATAACTAGATTTAGTTCCACCGGGGAAGTTGTATTCTTTGTTCACTGCCCCCTGTCAAAGATGTCCTACATACAGACAATGAAAATGCTCATGTTCCAGAAAAAGTTTCAAGTGAGAAGCTAAGGTGCCTTAGGTGGAAAATAGTTAGGGCCCATGGAAATACAGCCGCAGGTGAACTCAAGTAGATGATGTGGGCGATGTATGGAGGGGTATCCCCACATCTGCACCTTTCCTCAATTCTAAAGGGAGCTCTGGAGAATGTAATTAACTTGCTTAGGCTTACACAGCTAGTGTAGAAACCATCCCAGTTCTGATTATTCTCAAAGCTCCTCCTGCCCTTGATATAACCCAATATTGCCTCAAACTGGGGCCGTGTGGTGTGCCTCTCTTTTAACGTACCTCCTTATTCCTTTCCCCAGGAAAATACCATCCACTGGCAAATTGGTGCTGACCCTCACAACCGATGCTTGTGAAGGGAAGGACAATTTCGTCCGCTACCTTGAGCACGTTCAAGCCGTCATCACAGTCAACGCCAGCAGGAGAGGAGATTTAAACATTAACATGACTTCCCCAATGGGCACCAAGTCTATTTTGCTAAGCCGGCGCCCAAGGGATGACGACTCCAAAGTGGGCTTTGACAAGTGGCCCTTCATGACGACACACACCTGGGGAGAAGACGCCCGAGGGACTTGGACCCTTGAGCTGGGATTTGTCGGCAGTGCACCCCAGAGGGGGCTGCTGAAGGAGTGGACCCTGATGCTCCATGGTACCCAGAGTGCCCCTTACATTGACCAGGTTGTGAGAGATTATCAGTCCAAGCTAGCCATGTCCAAGAAGGAAGAGCTCGAGGAGGAGCTGGATGAAGCTGTAGAGAGAAGCCTCAAAAGCATCCTGAGCAAGAACTAGTGCTGCCGCCTCTGCATCACCTCTCTCCTCCCCTCTCCAGCACCCTCCCAGCTCCACTCTTCTATTAGGGCACCCAGCAATGACTGTCTTCATTGATTGTCTTCTTGCTCGGATGCTTCGCTCACTGTCAATGATTCCTTTCTTGTGACAGAAGCAATCTTTTTTTACTCTATGCCACAAATATATAGTGTTTCCATCCCAACTCTACCAATCCTATGTGTGACTCTAACTTCTTTGTGTCATTCAAATAGGTAGTATCTTGCAAATAAAATCAGGACAAAGTTCTACTCACATTTTTCATATTCAAAAATTGAAAAGAATACATTTTTTAAACCACACACAGAAAGTCCAAGAATGGTTTTCTGTGCTTTCAATGGAGGAGTTGTGTTGTAAAAAGAAAATTAAACCTTATGACAGAGGGTGAGCTCTAAACCTTGTGATTGACCAGAGATGCTGTCAGTCCTTTGGGGAAAACTATTTTGAACTAGCAACAAAGCTCCATGACATTGACTAAGGCTGTATGATCTGAATGATGCCCTTTGTAGAGAATCCTAACTATTAGATGGGGAAAGATACTCCAAAAGCATGAACATTGAAAAGGTTACCCTAACCTCAAAGCCATAGCTCGCCCTGTTCAGCCAGCAAGGTGAATGTGAGACATCACATCAAGGCTTGGCAGCTGCTGCTCTTAGTAATGACTTAATTGGCAAGTTGTTGTTGTTGTTGTCTGCCACAGAGTTGGAACCGACCCATAGCTGTCCCTCCAGTGGGTTTTCAGAGACAGTTAACTGCATGGGAGGAGATTGCCCGTCCTTCTCCCATGGTGCAGCTGGTGGCCTCGAACTGTGTACCTTCGCGATTGCAGTGCAGCTTCCTGCCTCTAGTCCACTAGAGCTCCAAAAGCAGCCTAAATTACTCCCAGTTCATAGAGTTCATCCCAGCCCCAATTTTCTCAGATCCCTCATATATCAATCCAAAAGCAAAGCAAGCCTAGTGGTGAAAAGCAGCTTAGTGGTTGTTCAGTCAGTACCAGTCCTTTTCCTACTTCACTCTGGGGACTCAATCTGTTCCTAAAGGAGAGAGGAGTATTTAGCTTTTATTTCCAAAAGATCTGATTGGAGGAAAGACTATGTTACATACATGTTACACCTACATGTTAGAATTTCTTTTACATGTTAAGAAAATAATTTCTGTCCTGGAAGAGATACATGAAGGAGAAGGAGCACTTACATGAAGCTATACATAGACATTCCCATAGGGCCTTCCATTTGTGTGGGTAGCTTCTGTCAAGAAGGGTGAAACCCAGTTAATCTCCTAGCTCACCTGAAACCTAATGGAAATGAGAGGATCTCTCTTGGGAAAGTTACCACTGTGGTAACTAAGATGTATGAGGGGGTTAACATGCAACCCAAAGCCTATAGACACAACCTCAAAAGACATTGCAGTATTTCGCTTCCAAATAGAAACATTTTCTGGTCATCACTTTGTTTTCCTCCCCAATGACTGGCTTCTCCACTCTAGCCCAGGCCACTTCTCAAAATAGAATTTGTTCTCAAACATGTTGGGCTCCACCTTACCCTTCCCAAGGAAGCATGTAGCTAAGTCTAAAGCTCCTTTACTAAACCAGTACTAGGGTCCAGTTCCCCAAACAAGCAGCTTTCAAAGCCTAGAAAAGTCACTTTATTTTCCCTATGTTGGCATGAATTCCCTTCTTCTTTAGCACCTGACTTTCCCTATTTAATGCAGTGTAAAAATATTAATGATTTTTTTAAAAGATATTTACTATCTAACGTGAAGGTCTTTTTAAACAAGATTTAAAGAAACAAATAATGAGAATCATCCAAAATTCATTTCACATTAACGATCTGAGAATAAACCAAAGGACACTATGTGGGCATGTATGTATAAGTGCACACAGAAAAAATATATATAAACATACTTATATGTATATGTACATGAACTTATGCAGACTATATACCTTTGTATATATAAATGCATGTGTATATATACATATACGCTTGTTTGGGTTTTTTTATACATATATACTTGTATAACAGCATATACATGCATATAGCTAAAATTTGTGTACATGTATTTACAGAAGAAAAAGACATGATATTCATCTCTAAAAAATATATATAAAGATGATTCTAGCTGAAGAAAAAGGCCAATTGAAAAATTCAGGTGAAAAATATTCATCTATCCCCTCTGTAATACTGCAGCTCTCTATGTAAACATTAAATGTCTTATATAGCAGTAAAAATATAAAATAGCTGTCCATATTTTCATAGCAGTATAATTTGTGAAATTAGAGGGTAACTTATCAGCTTCTTAACTGAAATGGCAAGTTTTGATATGAGAAAACAATGTATAAAATATATAGTACTATATATATAAATATTTGGTCGCTTTCATGTTTGGCAACAGTTAATTAAAAAAATGCCTAGTTAGTGATGTTTTTATGATATCCTTGATCCTAATGCAAAAGACAGGTATTTGTAGTCATTTATTTTTTAAAAAAATGAAAATAAGTGAATAATGATTAATCAGGTTAACATTGTTAATCCTTGTGACAAAATTTTATAAGTAAATTTAAAAAGACATGTTGTAAATTAGGAAGCTCAATAATAAAATGTTACCTTCCAGAAATTACGTGAGATGTGCTATATATTACAGAAAAACATTTCCAATCATTCCAGCATGATACAAAAAGATGTAAAAAAAAAATCCAAGAAGCCTATATTAATAAATATTCATTAAAGGTTTATAATTAGCATTTAAACATCACATGCTGATCCACAGAAGCATTTTTCAAACTCAGGTTTGAGACTCATTAGTGTGCTATAAAACCAATCTAAGGAGGTCAGTACCAGCATCTCCGTGAGACTAGAATAAATCCATATTAAAAGGGTCATATTTCAGGAGTCCCTTGGTAATGGCTAAGGCATATGACTGCTAACAGTAGTTAAGAGGTTGGAGTCCACACAGAGGACCCATTAAAAAAGAAAATCATTATCATCAAAGCACATGGCTAACCCTCTAGTGGCTTTTCAGAGGCTGTAATTCACACAGGAGGAGATGGTGTATTGTTCTCCCTCAGAGCAGCTGGCAGATTTGAATCACCTGCTTTATTGTTGAAAACACAAGTCTTTACACAGTGGACCACCACTGAGCATACAACATACTACAGAACTAAAGGCTGCCCAATCCTCCTCTGCTGTGCTCAAGCCCATTACGTCGCTTCATCAGCCCCTCTCATTGAGAATCTAACTCTTTCGATGATCCTCCACTTTCCAAGCACGGTGTCTTTTTCCAAGGACTGAATTCTCCTAACAGCATGTCCACCATGTGTGTTTGAGATGAAGACTCACCATCCATGCTTCTCAAGAGCACTCGAGCTGCACTTCCTCTGAGGCAGACATGTTTCTTCTTTTAAGCAGCCTATGGCATATTTAATATTCTCCACCAAAAAAACAATTCAAAAGTGTCAGTTCTCCTTATTCATTAAGCAATGTCCATATGCATGTGAAGCAATTGAAAATGCCATAATTTGGGTTGTTGTTGTTATGTGTCATCGAGTCATTTGTGACTCATAGAGACCCTATGCACAAGAGCCCTAAACACCATTCTATCCTGTGACTTGGGTTAAGCACACTCTAGTCTTTAAACTGAGACTTGTCTTTTTTTTTTTTTTTTTTTACTTTCACTGGTAGCTGTTTTGTTGTGGGTTGGTTTTGGGGTTTCTTTTCATCCTTTCTCTTAAACACTTTGAAAAGGTCCTTAAAAGCAGACTTTCCCAAGGCAATAACTAGTTTCTTGACTGCTGTTACCATGGGTGTTGATATTTTTAATCCAAGTAAAATTAAATCCTTATCAACTTTAGTCTTTTCTCCATTTATCATGATACTGTTTATTGGTCCACCTGTGAGAATTTTGTTTTCTTTATGTCGAGGTTTAATCCATACTAAAGGCTTTGATCTTCTTCAGCAAATTATTCAATCCTTCTTCACTTTCAGCAGGTAAGACTGTGTCATCTGCATATTGCAGCTGAGTCTTCCTCCAATTCTTCTTCAAATAGTCTAGCTTCGTGAGTTAGTTGATAATTATATAGATTTAATTGTTGCTGTTGGATGTACCATTGAGTTGGAACTGGCCTATAGCGGACCCTCTAACAGGTTTTCAGAGGCAGTAAGTCACATGGGAGGAGACTGCCCATCTTTTCCCCATAGAGCAGCTGATGGATTTGAACAGCATGACTTTGGGTTGGCAGCACAGCTCCTTATCACTAGGTCACAAGAGCTCCATATAGATTGAATAGGTATGACATGAAAGGATACAACTTTGAGTCAAAGTTTTTCTAATTTTAAAGTACATTGTACTGTTTGAGCAACAGCTTTTTGGTCTATTAACAGGTGCTGTGTGAGCCCAATTAAGTTTCAGTGTTCTGGAATTCTCATTCTTCTCAATAGTATCCACAGTTTATTGAACATATTCAGCATTTCTCAAACTGAAGATTCATGCCTCAAGTTGCAATATTGAATGATTCTTTAGGAAAAACACTGGAACATGAAGGAAACATCAAAAGAAGGAATGCACAGAGTCACTGTACCAAAAAGAACTAGTCAGCACTGAACCACTTCAGAAAGGAGCATATGAACAAAAAATGATATGTTAGTTTGTAAGGGGACACAACTAGACAGGAGCCCATAGAAACTCTCACCTAAAAGAGATTCACGTTACTCTGCTCAAGTCTCATTTAGCCATACTTGTCATGTGACCTGCCTGCATGCAACAACTTAGAGACAAGAGTAACTAAAGAAACATTTGGTAAGTATTAAAGTGTCTGCTGTGGAGTGTTTGGTATTTCTTTGCAATGTAGTTTTAAGTGCTAATTTATACAGCAACCTCTCTTTACGGGTGGTCCACAAATTATTACAAACCAGTTGTAATCCACATGACTCCAGCAAATCTTAACAGTAGTTAATAAAGTATTCATATAAGACACTTGTATTTGTCACTCTAAAAACAATGCATGATTCTGTCCTCTGATGAAAAACTTATAATTGTTATAATCTGGAGAACACTGTAACTAAAAATACATATTGAAGAGAATAAGGTCCAAAGTCTGAACCTGTGATAAAATGAGACATTTCTTATAAATACTTAAATTCAGAGGTGGATTTCCAGAGGCCTAACTAAACAT